CTGTCTTTGCCTTTTCTTTCCACATCACAACTCCAAACTCTGTTAGGTGGAATTTTCACTTTATTTCTTTCATTTGGCTAACTCATTTATGTTCTTCGATGCCTTCTGGCTTCTTCATTTCACCTTTAAATTTAGGAGATTTAGAACTGGACACAGAAGTTTAACAGAGGCTTTTCAAACTTCATTTTTAGCCAAAGCAGGTCAGGAGGTTGAAACTTAGGCTAAATTATTTTTCTAGTGGAAACAGAATTTTACTCTCATGGTCCATCGACTTTTGTTGATATCATGTTAACTGAATAGGAATTACATTGGTTTGTTTCAGGGTGGGAAGGGTTCTTCACCACCGCAGGTCTGCCCTTCCTTTATCAACTGTTCACAGAAGTCCCTGGGATGTTGGTATACTCTTCGGGTGTTAGAAATCGGCAGATTTCTCTTAGCTTTATATTCTTTGCATGTGTGAAAAGGTCCTGTGTCGTCCATCGTTTCAGATTGTACACATTTCTGGGAGGCCTCCTAGGTGTCAGACACTGTCCTCCCCTCTTGTTATTCCGAGAAGCCTCTCGTGCAGCGTTGGCCAGGGGATCATAGGAGGTGATTGTCTGCAACTTCTAAACACTGGGCAAGATTTCCCACCCCCGAACCAGAGGCAAGTGCCTGTCTCTCTCTTGCCAGGTCCAACGAAGGGGAACATCAAGCAGAAGTAAAGTCCTTTTCTGCCCTCCTTCCTCATTTTATGAGAGTCCCAGTCTCCTTTTAGGTGTGAATTTAGTATGTTTTTCAGTTGTTGGCAGCATCCCAGTGTTAGAAAGCTGAACGACAAGTTTATCTTATTCAAAATTCATCTCTTTATTTCAGCAGTTAGTGAATCCTTGGGCAGGCCAGGCACCCTTGGAAGGTACTGGGGAGAAGACAAGAATAAGAAAGGAACTCTTTTCTTTCTTTTTTTTTTAATATTTATTTTTGGGAAAGCGCAAACAGGGGAGGGACAGAGAGAGGGGGACAGGGGATCCCAAGCAGGCTCTGCACTGACAGGCTGACAGCAGTGAGCCCGACGTGGGGCTTGAACTCACGAACCACAAGGTCATGACCTGAGCTGAAGTCAGACATTCAACCGACTGAGCCACCCAGGTGCCCCAGAAAGGAACTCTTTTCTTAGGGAACCCAAATTCTCATAGGAGATCATTTAAGATCACCTTAGTATAACATAGTATAAAGCTTACCATAAGAGATGTATGTACAGTGAAAGGAGCGGAGAGGAGAAAGTTGGATGCTAAGTCGAGCACAGGGAAGATTTAGCAACATCCCACCTCTGCTCCGTGCCTAAAGAACATAAACGACACAGAAGTGAGATCTGTATTTCTTTTTTCCTGCCCAGTTTTACCATACTGACATGTTTTTGTCATTCTTCCCCTTTCCAAAAGGAATGTTCTCTGGAAGTCCATGCTGAGGGGGAGCAGAACTGAGGTTGGGGCAGCTGAATAAGTGGATAAGTAGCAAATCCAGTACATGGCTTCTGTTCTTGCATTGCACAAGCTTATGGAAGCAGAGACTAATATGTAGGCATTAGGATTTATTTTATTCCTTTCCCCAGTGATTATATTGATAGTGAAATATCTTTGTCTGAGCACTCCAGCAATATAGCTGTAGGCGCCATAAAAATGCATAGATAGATGGCTACCAGTTCAATTAAGAGGTCTCAACCCAGCCTCCTATATGCAAACCCTGTCTATTTTAGGTTTAAGTTTCTGCTCATAAATTTTTTAAAAACCAAAAGAAACATTGCTTTTCAAGGTTAGGTTGAAGTCTGAGATTCCTTAAACAAAAAGCAAGTCTCTAGATGGGAAAAAAATTGATGACCCTAATGTACTTCCTTACAATAGCATTTCCAACTCCATCATTTAAACATACTTTAAATAATATTCTCTTCATTGTAATATACAGATCTTCTGGCTTTCACCAGAGAACCAGAGGAAGTCACTGCCAGATATATGATAGAAGCTATGAGATATGGCATCCAATTCCATGCTGTTGTATCTGTTTTCTGGGGCCTCCAATTATTTCTGGAGGTGGGAATCAACTGACCAAGTGAGAATTGTCCAAAAAATTAAGCTATAAAGCTAACCTAGGCTTCCGACAGGTCCCTACCAAGTATAAAAGAGAAATTAATTGTTAACCTTCATGAGAGTGTTTTAATGTAAATGCTTACAAAAGAAATCTTTCCTTTATATCAATTATGCACGGGTAGAAATTAATTTGTAATTTTGGTCATCTGGTTGGCTCCATACCTAGCAGCATCGGTGACCTTTTGCAATACCAGGGAAAGTGTCCATGCATCCTCCGCATAGAATAGCCCTGGGACTGGGTAGTTTTGTTCCTTGTTGGTTCAAAAAAGAAACGGCATGAAACAGCCTGTAGTAGGAAATAATTACAGAAATTTTTAGATCATTTACCTTTCCTTGTAGATCTTTGGCTCTGCCTATCCCTTACCAGGATGCTGTGCTTTAGTGTGCTGTCCTCGGTGGCTAACAGTGTCTCCAGCTTTCGAATAAAACTGGAGAAATTAAATTCCGTTTTCAGTTTGGCTAGATGCCTCCTCCAGTGTATGTATCTGAGCTTTCACAAGAGCGCTTCGGCCCCTTTCCGACCAACTCTCAGTCTTTTCTTGCCTCTCGGTCATTTGCTGTTTATTTGCTCCTTTTTCTGGGGCCTGGAATTTTAAACTTTCTTTGAACAGACCTACAGCCACCTTCTGTTGCCGTCCATGTTTTCTCTAATCATGTTATGTTTCTACAAAGATAGGATGGTGAACCAAATGTAAAAGAAAAGAGAACAAAGAAGTCCACTTCTCTATTATTAAAAAACATTTTTTTGATCTCTTTATCCTCCTTGTCTTAATAATAGTGGGTAAGTATCAGAGAAGTAATTGGCTCTTGCATATTTAAATTAATTGAGATGAAACATGTTTCTCTGTTTGTTCACGAGGTGATTCATTGTAAAGATACACCTAGAAGAATGTCGTTGGGCTAAGCTGTCATATGGAAAGTTAGATTTGCTAGTATTACTGCAACATAAATGTTCTGTTTGGCAGAATTTTATGGATCCTTTCTGGGATATGATCAAGAAGAATTTCAGCTTTCCCTAAAACAAAATTTAAATTTTTTTAAATTTAATTATGGATATTAATGATTTGAAATTTTCTAGGACAAAAATAATCAAAGTATGCCTTTCTCCTAAAACATGTTGAAATACTCAGAATATTTAATTTGTAATTTTTAATGGCAAAATTGTAGGATCTTTCTTTAGAAAAAGAGAAGGTAGTTATGCCATATTTTTTAATTGTTTGCTGTAAAAGTAATAGTAATTTATGGAGTTAAAATTTCAAATACGGTCCAACATAAATTTGCATTCCCAATTTTCAGTGCAGGCTCCATACTTAACTTGGGTGATCATTCTGTGGGATATCTGAAGCCTTTTTGACCTGTCATGCTTTTGTGTGTGTGTGTTCACCATGACAATTGTTACAAAGTGATGAAAGCAATCACTTGGCCAGACTTAAATAAAAACTCACATCTTCACGTCTTTTTTTATTTGCACCTTTGGATCAACATAGGATTTTTGCTCTAGTCACCAGGTTAAGATCATTTGGAAACTTAAAGGTAGACATTTTCCTTATAGTACTTCCCTGTAATTAAAATCCTCATTTGCTTAAAAGCAGAGAACCTTTCTAAAGTAATGAATTAGCATTTCTTGGCCTAGGATAACTAGGAACGCTACTTTTTTTTTGCAGTATCTCCAAGAAAGAGAATAGTAATGCTTACAACGCTGTTGAAATAGAAGTGATATTTTCAGTTTAATCATAGTTAAGTGTCATGACCTTTTGATCTTGCACTGAACTTCTTGCTGAAATGTGGTCAAACTCTAGACAGCCAATTCTAACTCTGTGAGGCCCAGGTAAAGTTATTAGCCAAATTTTCCATAGATAGAGAGGCTTTTCTTTAAAAAAGGGGGGAGGTTGTTTGTTTTTAGATCATGTTATACACCGTTTCAAGTCCCAGAATATGTTTCACATTACAAAAGTTTACCCTGGAAATATTTTGCCTGATTTTTGTCTCCTCTCTCCAAGAAATGTCTAAGTATGTTTACTTCTGATTCTATGAAATTCCTTTGCTCTAACTGAATTTTATCTTTTTTAAAAATTAAATGTTATTTTAAAAAATTATCCCATTTAGAAATTAACTGAATTAATTTTTTAGTTTGGAAAATAATTGTATTTTTTAAGTAAAAAATAAATGGAATTCAGTAAAGGTGTGCAAGAACCTGTTTTTGCTAACAAGCCCTCTTAGGAGCTCCTGGAGGCATTGGTATGAGAGGAAAATGATACTTATAAAGCGGAGGAGGAAACGTGCAGCATTCAGGAAAGATGCCTTTGAGTTATCCTGCGATTTCAAGTAAATGCGCTAGAATATTAGGACTCTTGTATTTAATGGTGTTAGTCTGCATAGTCTGTTGCTAGAATACAGAGCTAAATATCAACAGAACTTGTTACTGTTGTTTGGGTTGCTTTTATATACCAGCTTCAAAATATGTTTTGACACTTTATTATGTTCTGAATCAAGCTTCAGATGTGTGTAATGAAGGATGAAGTCTTTATCAGACTCTAGTGTATAAATAATGGAGAAGAGCAGTTTGGAAATGGCTTCTCTGTAAAGAGGATGGTTTCTGAGGAGTTTCAAGTTATGATCTGGCGCAAGCCAAACGCCGCTGGAGGCGTACCCAGAATGGAGCGTCCTCTCTAAAGGCACGGGCTGCTGCTGCTGTTGCTGCCTTCTTTTCCCTTTCTCCCCCCGCCCCCCCACCTTTTGTTTTCATTCATCTTATCATTTCTATAACGTTCTCATTCCTACTTTACATGCTGAACTTTTTGAGAAAGTCTGGCACTTCTGATCCACTTTTCCCTCACAGACCCTGTAATTTTTGGCTGTATTTTTTATGTTTTTCAGATTCAAGTCAATCTGAAAGTCCCAGCCAGCCAAGTGACGCTGACATTAAGGACCAGCCAGAAAATGGTAAGTGTAGTTGGGGACTCTAGCTGCTGCTGTTTTCAGAGTCCAACAGTAGCCAAGAGCCAACCGAGTACAAGGATTTGGGGTCTGCCTGATGGGCAGCTCACAGTAGGAACAACTCTGAGGACTCAGGGAGTTCTCTGGATCATTCTAGCAGCCCCAAGCCTTCCTCCACCCTGCTCCCAAGCACTGTCAGGGTTCTCGTGAGAACCGGACTGTGAGAGGTGGGGTTGCTTTACCAAATCAGAATCTTCTACAGCACAAGTGAGGAGCCACAGTCTGTTGGTTTCATTTTAGTTCCTTCTGAGGTGGCAGGTGCCCTGCGATCTTCTTCCCTGGTGATATAAGTCATTGACCAACAAATATTTTTGTAGCCTTTTCAGAGCTCAGCCCTTTCCTAAGTGCTTTCAGAAAACGATCTCTGCCTTTGAAGGATTTTCCACTTTAACTTGTCTGAAATAAAACAGTACATGGCAGCATTAAATTCCTAAATTGCAGAATTCTATAAATTTTCTGTTGCAGAAACCTGATTAACATAGAATGCACACACATTCTATACAAATGTGATCGTGTCCGGTAAAATACTAAATTTGTGGTATTTGTGGTATGTGCTCCAAGTACAAAACAGATGGCCATAGGTTGGAATTTAAGATTGAGTAAAACCATCGGTTTCAATAAAAGCTGAGAAGTGAACCGGCAGTGCCTATCATATAGGAAACGCTGTACTACGTACTTTTACAGATACCATCTCCTACAACTCCAAAGTGCTCTTCCTCAGTGATAATACTAAAGGCTGTAATGGGGAGGCTTGACCTTGAGGGGTCTGTGAAGGGCTTATGGCATTGGGCTTAAAAGCTCAGGCTGTGGCATCAGACCTGTGTTCAAATTCTGCCTCTTCTGTTTCTTACTTGTGTAATATTGAACAGGTTATGTAACCTCTCAGGGTGTATACTTTTCCCTCGTCTTGAAAATAGTATGGTAAAAATAGATAATAATAGCCTACCTGTTGAAGAACTAAACGAGGCATACATATTCATATAGTTTACTAAAAATTGTTGGCTCTTCAATATTACTCATTATTTTTCTTGTCATTATCATCCTTACCGTACTTATTTTTCATCTACTTAGAATGAGCTCATTCCTCTGGTCTCTCTCTTGTTGTTCTGTACATTTTTCCCTGTTGATCTCCATCTGATCTTTTGGAACAGACAGGTAGACTGAATTCTGTCAGTGTTGTGCAGTGGAGGATTTTTACCACATTAGATATCCTCTCACTAATTTTATAGGATTTGTTTCATTTCACACGTGTGGTAAATTCCTTATATCATTGATGGATTCTAGCCTTAAATATGGACTATCTGACTATTTATATTCCCTTCTCATTCTGGTGTTTTAATGGTATTTTTCTTATCAAAGTTGTCTTTTCATAGCAAGCATAAAAAAAAAAAAAGAGGGACCCCTGAAGTCTTGTTTTTAGTATCATAAATATCTCTATCTTATTTTTTGTTGACATTTTAAGGTGACATTAGCGTCATCATTTATTTCCACTGGACTTGTAGGTGATACCTTGAACGTTTCATTTCTCATAGATTATATTTCTATATAATCTGCCTGAGATATTCACTTTATTCTCATTTCACTTTTTAAAAATTGGTGGGCCGTACGGGTCTGTGGTTGGTGTATGTAGGTCTGGCCGCCCCACTAGCAGGCCTGCGATTCATCTGTCTTCATAAAATGGCCGACAAGCTGTTCACATGCAAATATAAATTGAGAGCAAGAGAGGCTGGCAATGCCTTTCTGGAGCCGCCTGCAATACTGATATTGTGCGCTTCCGATTCCAAAAAGCAACCAGGATTGAGCCTGGATTTTTCGGCCAAAGGCACAGAGCTATTAGCCAAGTTCACTTTTAACCCCAAATTGCTTGGTGCTACTTCAAGGATCCACAATACTATTTCGGGAGGATCGTATCTAAGTTCAAAGAAAGCATTGGTATCTAGAAGAGAAAGTAATAAGTTCCTATGTTTCAAATTTCTATTCATGGCAAAGAAAAAAAGGCGAAGCTGCTTTGTCTTAGAGAACTCGACTGAAGCTTAGCCCAGAGGAAAATCAGCCTACTCAGTATCCTCTACCTGCCTTTTGTCAATCTCAGATGAAGTTATTGGAGGAAATGTGATTTTACCTCTTTTCTAAAGACACATAATCCCTAGAGGAAAATAAATGAAGAGTTGAGGACCAGGTATTTACATGCATTAGAGAACTTTCTAGTGTTGCTTTGACCAAGAGCGGTATTTCTTTTTCATTACCTAGGCTATGGATGACAAGTTCCTGAAAGGTTTTCATTTGTTTCATTTTTGTTTTTAAAAAGGCAGCTCTCATAAATGTATCAACCAAACTCTAAGCACTTTGAGAATCTTGGTGGGTGAACAAGGGACAGACTCTCGTCTTCAAATAAAGCGGGAACACATTACTCCTTCTTTATGTATATATGCGAGGGGAAATAATATTCTTTTTATCCTAGCTCTTGAGGAGAAAGGTAATGGGAAACGAATGGTATTTTCCTAGTAAACCATGGAGAATGAATAGACAAATGGTAACATGCCGTTTCATCCAAAACCATAAACTAGGCCATGTAACTTTACCTAAAGTGGATGCAGCTGTTTCTTCCCTGTCCAACTAGTCTGGTTTTTCCTGTGGAATTTTTGCTTTCTTTTCTTGTACTCCCTTAAGACTCAACTGTAAAAGAAAACAAATCTTTGTCCAATTAGAGTATTAGATGGGAATTTTGAAGGAATTATTTGAAGCCCAGAGATAAAATATCAGAATCTCCGAAACTCAAAGTTGGTATAATATATAATGATTAAAAACTCTCCCTCTAGAGTCCGACACACCCGAATTCAGATGAAATCATGGCTGGGTGACTTTGAATAAACTATTGCCCCAATATCCGTCTTCTTATCAGTAAAGTAAGAGTACTAAAACAACATACTTTGTATTAAAATAAGAATATGTACATGAAACAGCATCATGCTGGGTTCACGGTAAAGACTCAAAGAAAAGTAGCTATTACTACTTTTGGTTAAGGCTCATATCTGTATAGAGCATACATATCGGAGAGACCAGAAGCTCAGAGATTTGGAATGGAAGAGGGGTAGTGTCAGAAATAAACCAAGACTTTTAGAGACATCCTTTGTAGGTACCTACTCTGTTCTGGAACGTCAGACATACATCTCCTTAAATCTGTCCGTAATTCCCACAGTGCCACATCTGTTTTATTATGTGGACTAATCCTCACATTTCTTCACCTCCGAGGAGTCGACTACCACAAAAGTGATTCAGAGTTGCTAGAACGTTCCGAATGAGCACTGCAAGAAAAGGTGATTCTGGAAAGAAGGGACCCCACCTAGATGGGTTTAATTTTAGCCGAGTTTTTTTCCTTGGCACAAACCAAATAGACTCTGTCTTATTAAAAACTCTAAGCTGATTAAGGGTCAGGTTCATGGCAAATTCCTTTTAAAACAATCTTGCACAACATTGAACTTAGCAGGTACCTGGTATTTATTTGCTTCATGAATAGAATTAATAAATTAGGTGAGTATGGTCTCATTATCCCCAAATATTTTGTGAGTGTCTGCTCACTGTTGATTTTACCAAGAGGTTTTTAAGGAAACAAATATCAAAAACAAACAAACAAACCCAACAACTGGAGATACCAAAAATCTAATTTGGGTGTGGAGGAAGGTTGTACACAGACACATGGACATACATGCACAGACATGGCTGATAGTGCTAGGAAGGCCAAAGCCAGAAGCTATACTAATGTCCATAGCAGATCACCTCTGCCCCACTCACAGGAACAGGTGTGAGCAAAGATATGCAACACTATCATGTTAACTTATGCTTGCTTACCACAGGGAATGAAATTCTGACGAAGTTCTCAGCTCAGACTGGAATTACACATTTAATTCTTTCACATATTACTGAAACCCCCTTTCTGGCTTTTCAAGAGAACCTGAAGGTTATAAGCCTTAATTGTTGGACTTTGACTTAGAGCATCTACTCAAACCACCTTTGTTCGTGAACTCCCATGAGGTACTTTGGCTACTGTTTAAAATATTTATGGGACAGAATATTTGAGATGACTGCTCGATATTTACAGGACCTGTGAACAGTCCTCTTGCATTCTGTGGTGCATCAGGTCGGTCCTTAATGAGGAAAAAGCTCACGTAATAACCCTCCTACTTAATTCAAGTCACGCTTCTGTGGGGCCACACTGAGTCCATGTCTGAGGGAATAGCATAGTTCAGCATTGGCACTCTGAGAGCACCCTCCCCGCTGAGACTTTCTGTGAAAACACCCTTAACTAAAAAAAGAAAATGTGGGGTTCCCTTGCCAGAAAAAGAAAAGCTGTGTTCTCATGTTTTTTTCCCCTCTTTACTCTCTCTCATCACCTGCACAGACTACTATTAATAACCTCATTTTAGTGGTTTTTAAAATGTGATATTTATAACAGGCAAGTGGAGTTGGTATTTGGATTATTTCCTTTAGGCTTAATCATGTTTGTTCTTCCTCATTTATCTGGTAGTCGCACATATGTTGGTGGCATAAACCCTCAGATGGGCCTTTGCAATCACTGGAAAGCCATTAATCACGATGCTTGCCCCAGATTTTGAAAATTTCCAGCTCTACCTGCCAATTTGAAAATAACCCCAGGAGAATTGGTCGAGTGTGGCTTTCATGGTCACCACCTTCATTTGTGTCATTTCTGCCTTGTATCGCTACACTAGATATTATTGCTGAATGTTTCTCGATGAGCAAGGACTATCCTCCAGCCATATCTCACTAGTTATCCATTAACTCATTTCTGTGAGAATTTTGAAGGTTTCAATAGTTCGGAAAGAGCTTCCAGAGCCACCAACTCCCTGACTGAAGATTTATGTATAGGATCCACTTTGTAATTTGGGGGGTGAGATAAGAGAACTGTGAATTTCTGTTTCTCTTGTGGA